TTGAATTTGTATCACTATACAAAAATCCATACCAATATAAAATATTTGAGACTAGTAGTTTAAAAGTAGATTCAAGCATCTACTCTTTTGTGCTCTCATTCCTATATCCCCCCTTCTTTCCTTTTAGAACAAGATATTAGAATCTAATCTCTTTTTCTTAGTTCCCTCCCTGACCATGACCAATAAAACTTGTAACCAAGGCCCTAAATGATGATAAATATCCATAATCCACTGAATGACCACCCCACCATCTGGGAACTTGGGTGTTGTGTTATTAAAATTACTTCCTGATGTCTGGGGATAATGGCATCTTTGGTTTTAGCTAGCAGCTTTGAAGCTGTTCTGGATGCAGAATTTTGAGGAAACTGCAACAGAGGCACTCTAATAGGCTGGATCACCTGGGTTACTTGTCTTCATTGTTGTCTGGTCCTTTTGTTTTGAAAACACATAAACTTTTTAAAATTAATTTATTTTTATTTTATGTATATTGGTGTTTTACTATGGGTGTCAGGTCTCCTGGAACTGGAATTACAGACAGTTGTGAGCTGAGCTGCCATGTGGGTGCTAGGAATTGAACCAGGGTCGTCTGGAAGAGCAGTCAGTGCTCTTAACCATTGAGCCACCTCTCCAGCTCCAAAACACACATACATGTCTGTATTAACACAAGTATGGGACGTGCAGTGTGTATAAGTCAGCTAAAGATGATTATTTATGTTTGAGCAGGTAAAAGGCATCTATCAACTTTATAAGTCTGTTTGGACTGTATAACCAAACCTCTACCCATGTCATATGAAAGGATGTCATGTAATAATGTCATTCTATAGCCAACAAGATTTACCATGTCTCATCCAGCCTCACAGCTGTTCCCATGTAAAGGGATCAGCATATATGATACCTGTCCTGTAGTCTTCCTGGTTTCTTCTCTCATGTCTGTAGCCAAGATCTTCAGGAGGTCTCCCCTGTTCAAATCTGATCTTTATTAAGTTTGAAGGAATCCATAGCTTTTCATTTCCTGTGGAAACAAAAGCACAACTTCTCTCCAATGAACACATTTCCCGACTTCCATTCTGAAGCCAAGACATCTCTAAAGTATATAGGCTGGTTTAATTCAGCAGTCCCTTTTATAATCCAGCGTCTCTCAGAAGCTGCCATTTTCTGTTCATTGGCATTCAAAAAAACTCTAACAAAGCACCATAAAAGGTTCAAACTCCCTGTGCTATAATATTTTTCATTCTTGTGTGGCTTATTTTTTTTAATATTGCTTTACTCTTTCTTTAAAGACTTTGTAATTTTTAAACTATTTTTATGACTGTCTATATCCATTTTCTTTTTTTTTCTTTAGCACCTAAACATCTTTTTTAAGCATATTGTACCTTTGTGTGTGCGCACATGCTGGGAACCAAACCCTGGTCCTCTAAAAGAGCAGGAAGTGCTCTTAACTGCTGAGCCTTCTCCTCTCTAGGCCCCACTTTGGCTTTTCTGAGACTGGGTCTCACTGGTGGTCCAGGATGGCCTGCAATCCACTGTGGTGGTATTCTAATTGTACTGAAATGTGATTTTGATTGTATGTTAATAAATAAAGTTGCCCGGGGGTCAGAGCTATTAGAGCCATAGCAAGAGTGTGGCAGTGGTGGCACACGCCTTTAACCCCATAGGTCTCTGTGTGTTCAGGGATACAGCCAGCATTGGAGACATATGCCTTTAAGACCTGGGGGGCTGTACATACAGACAGTGATGAGGCAGTCACATGTTTGGGTTTACAACCAATGAGAAGGCAGAACAAAAAAACTATGAAAAGACAGACACACAGGAAGTAGCTCTCTTTCGGGAAGCTAGGACCACCACAGGAGGAAGGGTGAGATTTTAGCTCTGAGCTCTGACCTCTTGGCTTTCTCTTTTACATTGGTTCTGTGTTTCTTATTTAATAAGATGGTTGGTTACATCTACAATCCACAGCAGACCTCTTTCCTTCACCTCTTGAGTGCTGGGATCACAGGCCTGCACCACCATGCCTGGTTATGATTATTTTGCACAAGATGCTTATTAGTCCTGCCTCTCTGAGACAGAATTAGCTGTTGGGGAAAAGGGCCAGGTGAGGCCTTGGAGGCCAGCAAGGGTGACATTGAACAAAGGGCTGGTGTTTGGGGTCAGACCAGAGGAACATGTCTTCTAAAGTAACCTAGGGCAACCTCTACTGCATTAAAAAAAATGGACACCCACGCCCACACACATACATGTACATAAGTACGCACCCACACACAATAATTGTGTAATTATTTCTTTAAAAGTGCATGCTATGTCATGCATGCGGATGTGAGAGAACAATGTCTGTCAGTTGATTCTCTCCTTCAACTGTGGGTTCTAGGGGCTGAACTCAGGTCGTCAGACTCACACCACAAACGTCTTTACACACTTAGCTGTGTTGCTGGCCCAACACATACCATATTTTCCAGTGTAAAGTACCTTCAGGAAGCTGGTGTGTCATGCCTGAGGTCACAGCCTGGTGGGATGGACCTAGACAGGGAGCTGGGAACTTCCTATGCCTTTCACCTTGCTTACTTGTTAGGCTGTGATCAGAAAAAGATATTGTCCGGGCTCAAGGTCTGGGGTATCAAGAAATCCCAGCACTCAGGAGGCAGAGGCAGGCAGATCTCTGAGAGTTCAAGGCCAGCCTGGTCTACAGAGTGAGTTCCAAACAGTCAGGACTACACCGGTCTCTAAACACACACACACACACACACACACACACACACACACACACACACACACACATACACACACATAAATAAATAAATAAATAAATAAATAAATAAATAAATAAATAAAATAAAAAGAAGAGGAGAAAGAGAACTGGGTCTGCAGAGTGGGTGTCCTCAGTGCCCCTGCAGCCTCTGTCTAGTCTTGGAACTCCCTAGGGAAGGGTGAAGTATATTCAGGACAGTTTGGGGACAGCTGGGCCAAGGTCTATCTTGGACTGAGAGATGGGGCAGCTCCAGGTCAGCTCAGGGGACCCCACAGCACAGTGGCAGGCCATATGGTTGTGCCCACTTGCCTTGCTAGATATTTACTGGAAACTATTTCAGCAAAGAAGAAGGCAAGAAGGATGCCCATCACAAGTTAGGGAGACAATAATCTCTGGGGCTGAAGGGTGGCTGTAAGCTTTAAAAAAAAATCTGTTTTCAAGTCTGAGGTGGTAGTGCACACCTTTAATCCCAAGGCTTAGGAGGCAGAGGCAGGTGGCTCTCTGTGAGTTTGAGGATAGCCTGGTCTACATAGCAACCAGGTCAGCCAGGGCTACATAATGAGAGACTCTGTATCAAAATAAATAAATAAATAAATAAATAAATGTAAAAAAAGTAAAATCTGTATTTTCAGAATGGTCTATTTTTTTTTTTTTTTTTGGTTTTTTCAAGACAGGGTTT